AAAGGCTCCCTCCGATCGTCCTGGGGGTCACAGGCAGTGGGAGCTGTGACGGGCAGAGCCCCCACAAGCGCCCCGGGGTGGAGCACTCCCCAGCGTCACTCGCCTGTGCAAAGCCCTGGCAGCAGATCTCACACGCGTGGCCAGTGTGGTCTGTTAGACGCTTCTGACACAGATGGACCTTGTCATCTTTCATGTGCATTAAAGGGACACAGGAACAAACTCTGATCTTTTTAACTTACAAATATGACTTCTGGTTGTGGTATAAATTTAGTGCAGGAAATTACTGTCTATCAGAAGATTTTTACAAGTAAATTTGCCATCGTCATAAGACGAAAGACCAGCATTTGCTTGTAGCTGGTCTCCCCGTCGTCACTAACGGGCATAAATAAGATATGTTCCGACGCATGAGAACCCAAACGGATCATGCGATGCTGATGGCTTCTTTGTTCTAAAGGCAAGTGCTCTGTGTTTGCTAAAGAAGAAGCACAAATCGTCACAAACGTTTCCGAGCATTTTCAGGGAAATCAAGAAATGCAGCACCTTGAAAATGCCCCCTCCCACCTGCGGGGGCTGGGCCAGGGGTGGCCTCTTCGGGTCACCAGGGCAGGCCACAGGGCAGGCCACGCCCGTGCACGCACGATCGTTCCTCGTCAGTGAAGTGCAGCTCGCAGGCTGAGGCAGAAACAAAACGAGGCCATGTTTCCGAAAGTGCTTTGTAAATGGCGGACACGACGCGTGTCGGTAACTGGCAGCTGGAGGCGTTTGCTCGGCCCGCCGGCCCCAGAGGGCTAGGAAGGCCCAGGTGATGGAGCGCGCTCAGCTGACGACCGCTGTCAGCGCCTCTTCCCACTGCCACCCACTCCACACAGGGCCCCGAAGGCCCCTTGGGGTGCAGATGCCACCAGCCTGGTGGGCTTCCCAGGAGCCCGAGCGTGAGCCTGTTGGGGAAAGGGGCACTTCTAGGTTGGGGCTTAGAGACGGTCGTCCCGCATCTTGTCCTTCATTCGCGAGGGTTTCCAAGGGCTGTGCCTGGGCTGGCCAGGGGCCAGGAGCATGTTGATGGCTTATCAATGTCACGCTGGTTCTGTGGAAACCCAGGCATGGGTGGCACTGTGGACAGCAGCCCTGCATCGGGTCTGAAGGGCGTCCCCAGCTTCCACCAGCTTTCAGTGCCAGACTCCCCAGGGGCCATGGGGAGCCCATGTGGCAGCCAGACCTCCCAGCATGCACTCTGCACACACGGCGTCCGAGGGCAAGGTACACCGTTACCATCCAGGGTGGACGTGTGGGTCTAGGCGGCCTGCAGTGAACACGCAGAGTGGAGAGAGCCCCTGCTGGCAGCGTTGTGCAGACTTGAGCTGGGCCCAGGGGGGCGGCCGGGTGAGGGGCCTGAGCTCAGGAGCCTGCACAGCCAACGGCAGGTGCCAGCACCTGCGGCGGAACCCCTGGCGCTTGTAACTTGTCATTTAGGGAGGAAAACTCATCTCCCCGTGTGCCTCCTCACGTGGCTTCATCCTCTTAAAGCCGTGAGACAGGTGCTGTCCCCTCCAGGAAGTGAGCCGCAGTCACACGGCCCCACTTCAGACTTGCGGGGCTGGGGAGAAGCCAGGCGGAGCGGGTGGGGGCGGACAGCGCCCGCTGCATTTCCTGGAGCCCCGAGGCGCCGTGGCCAGGCCGTAGCGGGAGTCGTCGGAGGATAGCAGGGTCCCCATGACTGGCTGCAGCAAGGGGACAGGAGGCCGTGGTCCCTGCACCCGGGGTGGGGGTGGGGCTCCGAAGACCACTCAGTGTCTGGTTTTGTGTTTCGTCTGAACACGTTCTTCCTGAGTCTACGCTTTCATGGCATCTGCTCCTCCATTCAAGAAGAAAATTATAAATGCTTCGAAGGTGCAAATTATTTAGCTCTTAAAATCCAGTAAGTGATTTTCCCTAAAGAACAAACACCGCTTTGCCCGGAACAGTAAACAGCTATTTACAAAGACCGTTCTTTGCCTTTATCATGCTGAGTGCTGGCCGGTCAGCGGCTTGGGCCGAACGAGTTCGAGCCCCAGGTCAGCTTCAGGGACCCGCACTGGCCATGCCCAGCAGCCGAAAAACGTGCTGGCGGCCCTGTGTGGGGTTTGATAGCATGCCCTTGACTTAAAATGCCGGTTCCCGTCACAGAGTGGTGGCCCGCCTCCCCCGCCCCCACCCCGGGTGCCTGCACTGAGGGGCCTCTTCACACAGATGCCCTCACGGTTATCACGGAGATGACCGCCATGCTCCGACACAGCCTGGTGCGGCTGGAGAACCTGCAGAAGCTGACAGAGCTGCAGCGGGACCTGGTCGGCGTGGAGAGCCTCATCGCCCCGGGCCGGGTGAGTGGCTCCATGCGCATGTGTCCGAGCTGGCGACCACATCGTTTGCACAGAGATGTGAGTCACACGGCACAGGTTCCCCTCTTGAAGCCATCCAGTGGGTGTCAGTGTGTTTGAGGGTGTGCGGACATTCCCCTCCCACCCGGAGGAGACCCGTGCCCATTGGCAGCCGCTCCCCGTGCCAGGCTCCATGCCGTCTCTGGGCTCACCTGTCCTCGGCGTTCACAGCACGCGGCCTTCTCGCCTGGCTTCTTCCAGCCGGCGCCACGTTTCCACGGTTCCCGATGTCACCGTGTGTCGGCCTTGCTCCTTTTCAAGGCTGGACAGTACTCGCGCCGCAGACCGGCCACTCTCCGGTCCGTCATCAGCCGATGGACGCTGGGCGGGTTTCCCTCTCCGGCTGTGGCGCGCAGTCTGCCGTGAACGCTGGAACGTCCTAGTGTGGACACGTGTGTGCGGTTCTCCCGCGCACACACCTGGGACTGGGATTCCTGGGCCGTGGGTGATCGCGTGGAACGTTTTGAGCTGCCGGGTTTTCCAGGGGCGGCTCCCTTCCGCAGCCCCTCCAGCCATCCGATGGTGTGTGGCTGTGGGTTGCGTTTCCCCAGCGGCGAGGGTCAGGCGTCTCGTGTGCTCGCTGGCCATCCATATGCCGTCTTCGAAGTGCCTGTTCAGACCCTTTGCTCACCTTGTAACTGGCTTGTTTGTCCTCCTTTGCGGTGTGAGGGTCTGTGTCTGCTGGGTCCCAGCCTCCTACTGGAGTGCGACTTGCAGAGACGCTCTCCCGTGTTGTGGGCTGTCTCTTTACGCTCCTGACGGTGTCGTTTACGGCACAGACGGCTTCGTTTCCGTGACGTCCAGTCTACCTGCTTTCTCGCTGTCATAGGTCAGCAGCCACTGCGCAGGCCAAGGCGCGGAGGTGTCTCCTGTGCCTCCTTCTGCAAGTTTTACATGTTTTCACTCTTGCATTTAGATTTGATCCATTTCGAGTTCATTTTCGTAGACGGTGTGACACAGGGGCCCAACTTCAGTCTTTTCCACGTGACATCCAGTCGTCCCAGTGCCATTTGCTGAATTGCCTTTGCACCCTTGTCAGAACTCAACGGGCCATAGATGTGGAGGTTTATTTCTGAACCCTCGGCTCTGTCCCACGTGCTGGTATACCTCTGCTGGGCTGCGTACCTTCTGTCACCGATGCCTTTTGCTTTGGCTCAGCACTGTCGACATAAGAAAACGTTCTGAGGGGTGCGTGGGGACGTCTCCTGTCTCGACACAGACGTACGTGTAGTGGAGCGTGGCCGAGTGCACTGTTTCTATGCCGGCCTCTTAGACGGCACTGGGAACGTGGGGCCACGTGTCCCAAGGGAGGAACGAGGACTGGGACGTCCGGGAGGCTCCGCTCCTGGGCTGGGCCTTCTGGGTCAGGACCCCTTCACCTCCTGTCGCTCGTCGACTGACCGCAGGGCTCCGCAGTGGCACTGCTGCAGGGCGGTGGGGCTCTCATTACACGTGTCGTTCCTCCTGGCGCCCCCACAGTGTCATAGCCGGTGGCCCCAGGGCACTGTCACTGACGGGACAAATAAGCAAGAGCAGTGGCATCGAGCAGGTCCAGTGGGCTCTGGAGCCAAGGCTGGAATGTGGCCTGGGCTCCATGTCCCTAGGACGCAGAGGCCTGGGGGTGGCCAGGGGACCGATGTCCGCTGCTCGGCCTGTGCCTCGCGGAAGTAGGTGCTGAGCAGATGCTGGCTGCCATACTGCTTGTTAGTCACAACCCCCAAAGGGAACTGTGTGCCCCCCTCCCAACCAGACTCAAGCTGCATCTGCCCAGTTCCTCTCAAAGTCCAGCTCGGATGTCACCCCCATGACTGACGCCCCCAAGAGCTTCTCAATGAGAACATTCCATTTGCTCTACACGACAGCCCTCGGCACAGCCGGCCCGTGACGAGACGCGGCAGCAGCCGCCCAGCAGACAGACTGGGGACTGAGTTCGCTGGCACCCAGCCAGGCCCCGGCTGGCCGGAAGGAGCAGGCAGGAGGGAGGAGGGTGCAAGGCGCACAGGGCATGTGGGCATCTGGGCTCCTGCAGAGGGGCTCGGAGAAGTGTAAGCGGTGACAGTGACGCCAGCCTGCCCGCCAGCCGCCATCTGCTGCGTGGCCCTGGGCCCACCCCGAGGGACCGCGTCGCTGTCTTGCAGGAGTTCATCCGCGAGGGCTGCCTGCACAAGCTCACCAAGAAAGGCCTGCAGCAGAGGATGTTCTTCCTGGTAGGTGGGCGGCCGCGGCCCGGCCAGGGGCCTGTGCTGCAGCTTCGGGCAGGCGGGCGGGCGGCCTCACGGCCAGGCGGGAGCCGGGGCTGCCTTCTCCTGAGCTGTGGGCTCCTGTCCCACGGACGAGCAAAGGCCAGAGGGTAGGAAAGCCACGTGCCTGTGGCCGCAGGGTGTCCACCCTGCCGCGGCCACGTCCAAGTATCCTGCTCACCACTTGGACTCTGGGAGCCGAGGCTCTCCCAGCGGGCCCCTGCTGCCGCCGGCTTTTCTCCGTCAGCCCCCTTCCTCACGGCTGGTCGGTAGATACGGACCCGAGCCATCTGGATGAGGGCGGCTGGGCCCCGATGCCCACCGGTCCCTGAGGTTGCCAGTTGTCTCTGGTCGAAATGATCGTATGAAGTCAAAATCCCTTTTTTGCCAAAATCTCCGCAAGCCGAATAGATCTGATAACCACTGACAGTTAAGATGTCGAAACCGTGTTATTTGCTTTTAAAATGTATTTATCTAAAGCTTCTCGGCTCAGTTCTCAGACATGCTGCTGTACACGAGCAGAGGCGTCTCGGGGACCAGCCGCTTCCGGACCCGGGGTCTCCTTCCGCTCCGCGGCATGCTGGTGAGTGCTGGGGCGCGGCTGGGTCCGGGCCCGCTACCTGAAAGCACCTGTCGGGCTCTGCTCTGTCCCCACCTGTCGTGGTTACTGGTCTTGGAGCTCACAGGGCTCCCCCACAGCCCTCCCAGGGCCGTCCGCACCTGGCCCTGGGGTCACCGCCAGCACCTGCAGGTCAAGGCCCCACTCACCGTGTCTACCCAGGGGGCCCTGTGAAGGACCCCGGGTGGGTGCTGCGCAGGTGGGGGCTGAGCCACCAACTCTGAAGACTAGAGTTTCACTTCTTTGATTTTTTACTTGTATCTCTTTGCTCTTATGCTGACCATTTTGGTTCTTTGTGGCATTGGAAGGAGTTATTTCACACGCACACGCACATGCACACGCACACGCTCACAGCTGTAAAATGGCCAGACACCTCTGCTGGGGAGCGGGCAGTGAGCCCGGCGCCCAGCGCCTTCCCTGCACACCCCTTGTGAGGCCCCGCTCTGAGTCCCGCGTGGCTTCTGCTGTGCCTTCCCACCTCCGCCTCATGAAGAGTCACAAGCTCGGCCCCGCCCGTGGTTGCGGGCCTGCCGCCCTGAGAACACTCTGCCTGCGCCGCAGTCCGTCGGGGCGCGCCCACACCCCCGCTGTCACAGGCGCAGCGTGATGCTTACCTCTCTGATGAGCAGAAACTGTTCACCGTACCACGCTCGTTTGTCACCCTTCCCCTTCGTGAGCAGTGCTGCCCCTGGCCCGAGGGGGGCGCTGTTTGGGGGCCAAGGGGGACCCTTGTGCAGACGTCCACATGCTCCCATCTGCCCCCCATGCGCTCAGTCTGGGCCCCGTCTCTGGGAGTGGCGAAGGTAGCAGGCCAAGGCCAGCCTTTGCCACAAAGCTCTGCCGTTGGTCCAGAGCCTCCCGCGGCAGCGAGCATCTCTCCGCGCGCCCCTCCAGGCCCCCCCGTCCCGGTGTCTGTGGGCGGGGGTCCGGCCACACTCTGCCCTGCCGTCTCCGCCACCGCAGCCCAGAGCAGCCCTCCACCCCTGCCTTCTTCAGGGCGTCCTGCCCACCTCGGCCCTCCCTCCCGCGGGGCCCTCGGCAGCGTCCGCGCCACGTGGTTCAGCTTCCTGAGCTCAGCAAGGGGATCGAAGGGGGTCGGCTCGAATGAGCTCATGTGCCGCCGCGGGAAGCAGACCCCATGTGTTTTAAAGTACCGTTAAAAGCGACACTTTCATCATACACGAAACAACCGGAAGCGTGGAGCGAGAGCGGCTCGCCCCGCGGGGGCGCGCACCGTCTGCGTGTGCCGTGCGCCCCAGCTCCCCGGG